CATGAAAGTGTGAAACGGTGTGACTGTGGATAAATTCAGTCTAGTCAATTACTCGTCCCAGCCGTCAGAAGAGGAGGTCTTCCGCTTTGAGTTGATCGGCTCCATCTGCATGGACTTTCCATTTGAGTGGGAGTTGTTGCTACTACTGCCTCCATTCACCCCCGACTGATGATCAGAAGTGCCAATGACGGCACCGGCGCCCTCCGGCTCACCCCTAAAGGGGGCGTAAAAGTAGGCCATCACAGCGAAGATGGCAATGTCGATGACCATCAGCGAGGCAAAGAAGAAGAACTCGTATCTGAAAAAAAGATGAAAAGTTATTAACCAGAAAAATGCTCAAAAAATTTTCACTCAACACTTACGACTGCTGCGGAAAGATTTTGAGGTCGGCAATGACGGCGACAATGAGATTGCCAAAGGCGACGGTGAGAAGCCAGGCGGCCTGCAGCACCGACTTCATCGACTGCGGCGCCTGGGTGTAGGAGAACTCCAGCCCGGTGACAGAGAACATAATCTCGGCGCAGGTGATCACCAGGTACTGAACCAGCTGAATGAAGACCGACAGCTGATTTGCCTCCACGATCTTCGTCACCGTGAATTGGACTTCCTAGGAAAGAAGAAAGTTTTAAAAATTTTAACTTTATCAAAAAGACAAAATTTACCCCCTCTAGATCGCCGCTAATCAGCTGCACATAGGTGGCGCCCTGCTCCAGCTTCAGCGCCGCCCTCTTCTCTCCAGCGCCCATCACAATGTCGTGGCCCTTGATCTCCACCTCAAACTTGTCCAGGTAGCCGAGGGTGACATTGGCCTGCTGTACTGGTCCAGGTGGACTGGCCGTGGTCCTCAGCACGTGAGCCACCAGCTCGCCAGAGTGGTCCGAAGAGGTGAACACCTCCTCGCCGTCGGCACTCTGATTCACCGCCGACTGGTAGTGGCTGAGGTTGAAGAGGGTGAAGAGCAGCGCCCCGCCCTCCAGCGGCTTGCTGAGCACGTTTGAGGCGTAGAGGACGACGTTGCTGCTGTTTACCGAGAGACGCCCACTTGCCTGCTTCAGCCCAACTGAGTCAATGTACAGGAGAAGGGAGGCGCCTTCGGTCAGATTGGTGAAAGTCGCCTGCACAGTGTAGCGCTCCCCCTTGCGACAAAGGTCCTCAAAGGTGGCCGGAAAGTCGGCCAGCTGGTCGGAGGGAATGTTCTTCAGGACAAAGGTTTGCTGGCTGATGGTGCCATTGTAGAGCGGCGACTCGAGGTGAAAGCCGCCGAGTGGGCAGTCGCCGGCAAAACCGTTCACCAGGACGACGTGATGGTGAGCAGGTAGCAGGGCAACAGGTTGCTCCTAGGTGAGGGAATGTGTTACTCTGCAACAAACAAAAATCAGCCGTACCTTTTCAATCTTCAACTGTACAAAGGCGCAGATGACAAAGGAGAGGGCAGCGAGCAGCCCGCCAATGGTCATCTTCTGCAGGGGGCGGTGAAAGAGCCTCATCTTGGTCATCAGCGGGTAGATGGCGTACTCGAAGACGGGAATCATCAGAATGACCAGCAGCGGGTTGATCACCTGAATCTGGTCGGGCTTGATGGTGAAGGAGCCGCCCACCTGGCCGTTCATCCGCGTCGCCTGCAGCGTCCACCGACTGGCCTGCTGGTCAAACAGTGCCCAGAAGATGGGCAGCGGCAGGTAGAGGAAGAGGATGGCCATCAGGGCGCGCACGTCGTGGATGGTTTTGCGCTGAAAAAAGAAGGAAAGGAGTAATTTTGAAATTCTAAAACCCATTTAAAAACGCTGAAACCTACGTCAAACTTGTCGTCCGCGTACTCTAGCCAATGGCTTTTTTTCTCTGAACTACCGCAGAGTTTCCTCGAGAGGGCGTACTGAAAAAACATTTTAGAAAATACTTTCAAAAAGAGTCATCTGGTCACTTACAAAGACACATTTGAGCACGGTGAGGACGATGTTGTTCTCGCTGGGCGGGTTGATCCGGT